CCATCATCATCATCATCGTCATCATCACCACCATTGACATCGACATCGACATCGACATCGACATCGACATCAACTTGGTCCCTACGGAGGGTACAGTATGTACTTTCATACATTTCAATCATCCGTCATATCTGAATTCACTCACTTCAGCATATTCTCTATTTTCTGACCCTTTGTTATATGTATGTTTAAGTATTAACTTAAACATAAAACAAACTTAATTCTATAGTAATAGAATTTAATATTTTTTAACCATCTTCCGAAAAGACGGGAAGTTCTTAATTCGTTTCTTTTTGTATTTTTTTATGTGTGTTACAGCACTCCGGTCTTAGTGGACCGATTTTGATAATTCTTTTTTATCTGAAAGTTATGTAGTTAGTTTTTATATGAACTTACCACAGTCAGTTTCTTCTGATAGCTGGTAGCACTTTCTAGAGGGAATAGAGGACTGTTGTGTCCTACCTGCCGTTCCCACTGACCGTGGAAGTCGTACGTCATCACGTTGATAAAGTCCTATAAAATATATTAAAACGTCCAAATATATCTATACTAATATATTAAGAGAAGAAATGTGTAGTTTTGTATGTATTAAATCAAAAACTATTGGGCTGATGTTAAAAATTACTTCACGTTAGAAAGATAATTTATATGTGAGTAACATAGGCTATATTTTATTGCTTTAATTTCACGCGGACTAAGTAAATTTGGCTTTATATTTTACTAGCGATTGCTCGCGACTTCGTTCGCGTAAAATTTTAAAATACTGCCTATATAACTCCGTGATAAAGTAGTTTTTTAATGGTAAAAGAATTGAAATCGGCCTAGTAGTTTGAGTTATTTCAATATATACAAAAGTAAAAATGTTTCCTCTATATAATATCAATCTATATCTATACTTCTATACTATTATAATAAAGCGTAAACACACACTTCTTTGTTGCCTAAGATGTCAGTAATTACATATTTTTAAATAATTAGTTTTTTAACAAAAAGCCCTACACTTACGTCACGCTTTAGGCTATGTATTTTCACGCCATTAAACTTAGGGGGTAAATATTTTGGATAACCACCCTAATGTGGGAAAGAGACCATAAGTTGCTGCCAACATCAAGGAAAGGAAGATGGCAATAGTTTGTCATCATGTCATGTCATTTTGACATTTGCAATTGATAATTTGACAAAAAACGTAAACGATAAAGTAAAGTTTTTATAATTCCACGCGAATGAAGCCGCACGGGAACAGCTAGTATAGATAAGTATTTGAAGCTTACCAGATATTTGGATATCTCTGGCACATCGTATCCAGCGGCTATAGCTTCGAATGAGGCTGGCACAGCGGCTGTCAGCAATAATCTCGGTTGTCCTGAAGTTTTAGCTTCTCCTTCGAAAGCCAGTCGAAGTTCTTTAAGTAAGGAGACGAAAGCAGCTCTGTCATCAGCTCCTCTGAAAAGGTTACAGTAAAGATAATCTTATAAGACATGATAATGCTTTATTTTTTATTATTTGTGGTCTATAGTATGATTGATTATGGTTGAATGTTAGAATAGCAAGCAATCTATACTTCTGTGCTAAGAAAATCACAGCATTTTTGAACAATGCTTTATTAAATAAAAAAAACCCTAAAAGCGTGTTCTACGCTTTAACCAATATATTTTCACGCTATTTAATTCCTTCTTTAGCTCTACAGCCTTTTGTGGGCCTTGGCTTGGTCCAGAAACTTTTTCCATTTCGGCCTATCTCTGGCCACGGTTCAAATTATTAAATTTAGGGGGTAAATAAATTTGAAAAATGTAGTAATGGAATGAAAGGAAATAAACTACGAGCTGCCATAATTAAGGAAGCAAAGTTAGGAACGGTAATTTTGACATTTGCAATTGAGAATTTGACAAATGTAAATTAAAAAATAAGGTTTTTCTAATTTGTGATGAAACCGCACGGGAACAGCTAGTTAATATGTAAAATGTTGTATTTTTAAATACCTCGGATACTCCCAATCGACATCAAGTCCATTAAACTGGTAATCTCTGAGGAATTCGATAGCTTCGTAGACGAACTGGTTCATACGGAATACGTTAGATGTGAGCTCTTTGAAGGGGGTCGAGCCGAACGCCCAGCCACCAATAGCTAGAAGGATCTGGAAATTAATTATTTTCTTATACAAGTAGAAGACTCTCACTTTATTAGAATTGATTTTTATTTAATTTATTTATTTACACAAGAAAATATACAATGTTTACAAATAATGTCGCCACACTGCACAACAGTTTGTTGGCGACAGACTCCCTTTTCTATCTATTCTTAAATGTTTACATCTGTTTTAATTTCGTAAGAAATGCTTTCTTAATTTATTTTTTGCAATGTTTTTTACTGTCAATGTTTTCATATCTAAGGAATTTAATGCTATTATTATACTAAGCTTATTTTATTACTAGCGTACAGCGACCTCCGACTATCTACGCACCCTTTTACTTCTTAGGAAGGGGGGGTGGCTGAAAACCAGCTCGACACTGGATCTCAACCAGTATCGGTTAAGCTGAGCCTCCCCCTTTTGTCATGTTACAATTTTATACGTATGTTTATTATTTTGTACAACTCTGTGTGTATCCTTGGATGGCAATAAAGAGGTTTTTATTATTATTTTTTTATATAATTAAGGTATTATGTATTTCGTTGTCCTTTCCCCGTAATAGTTGTTGGTTAATAAGTCTTATTGAGTATTAATAAGTAATAATTTGATTTCAAATTATTATTTTTCTTTTAAAATATTAGTAGATTTTTGTTAATTTACTAATATTTCACCATTACAAATAGTTTCTAGGTTTGTTCTAAGATATGATTCACAATAGTCTAATGGCGGATTTCGAACCCTCGACCGCAAGATTCAAGTTCAACTATCACTGTTTCTGTAAAGTATTTTTGTATTGTATTACCTTCAAGTTAGGGTTCTTTTCTCTAAGCGCAACAACTTTGTCGTACATATCAGCGTCTTTTTCATCGGCTTCCGCTAGTTTGTGGTCTTTGAGAGTAGCAAACGCGAAGATGACGTGCGTGCAAAGATTGGCGTCAACGTTTTCTGGCATGAATCTGCCTCCGCTTGGTCTCTTCGATGACCAGGATGTCAAGTAACAGAGAACTTGAGCTTCACGTTCTGGAAAAAAGTATTTTTTTAGTCTATACTAATATTATAAAGAGGATAGATTTCTTTCCCCATTAAAAAACGTTATCAGTGAGTAGCAAAAGTTGTATTTTTTATTATTTTTACTCGGGTGAAGTCGCGAGCAACAGATAGTTAACAATAAAATCATTCAATTAGTAAGTAAAACTATTTTGCTTGATTTACCGTATATCATATACGAAATCATGCAGTGTCTTCTACAATTGCTTTTAATGTTTCAAGAATATAAATTTATACTTTCCAGGAAAAAGTTATATCTGGTGTAAAAATGGTACTTAGAAAATTACTTTGAAAAAAGGCATATTTCATGTAAGAAAATTTGACAAAAGCTTATAAAAAGAATATTTACATGAAAATTATGTATTATACAGAAAAAAAACTTAAAAGCCTTTAACGCTTACATCATAACCATAAACTAGATGGGCGTGTTACATGCTATTAGCATGTTCCATATTTTCAAGACCCGCGCTTTTATCATTCTATACGTACTGTGTCATACAAACGGGTATGAGACAAGAGCTCAGAGCTATTTGGATTTTAAAGACTTCAACGTAAAAGCACTCGATGTTTGAAACTTTTAGCGAGAATGAGGGCTGTACGTTCTTAGCTGTTGTTGGCAGGAACAACTGAGTGCCGAAGAATGACCCTTGCGGCACTCCTTCCAAGATTTGTAGCTTTTAGTGTCGCGAACATTCCACTTAAATATTTCATTTTACGAGAATTGTTTGCACAAGCGGCCGTAAGAATGAGGAGAAACACAAAGGTTTAAAAAACGGAGGTTAGGGAGATGATGATTACGTACGTGGTCAAAATACTATTTATGTATTTAAATTTAATTATTATTTAAAGTAACTTATTAACAGAAGTAAAAATTCTAAGAAAGAATAATCGCTGGCTTCAACATCATTACAAGAATCGACATTAAAATGGTCTTTAGAAAGTAAAACGAGTGATTTAAGTAATGGAAAGCGTGCGACAAATATCAAAATTACTTTCCTTTGTGAGTTAATTCTTTAAATAAAAGGCTAGAGAAAGTTTTATCATGAAATTTTAAAGGATGAAATTAAAGATGTATTCATTCAATTTAATGAAAACATTTCAATTTAATGACACTTTGTTGTTAACTAGTTGTTCCCGTGCGATTTCATCCGCATAAAATTATGAAAGTTTTATTTTGTTGTTTACATGTGTCAAATTGTCAATTGCAAATGTCAAAATGACATGACATGATGTCAACTTGCTTCCTTGATGTTGACAGCAACATATGGTCTCTTTCCCACATTAGGGTTGTTATCCAAAATATTTACCCCCTAAGTTTGATGGCGTTAAAATATATAGCCTAAAGCGTGACGAAAGTGTGGGGCTTTTTATTAAAAAAATAATTATTCAAAAATATGCTGTAATTGCTGAGATCTTAGGCAACGAAGAAGTGTGTGTTTACGCTTTATTATAATAATATAGATAAATATTGGAGTGATGGATAATTTGAGATCTATGTTTTTTATGTTAAATTAAAAAAATGGTCTAAATTCTATATTAAGTTTACTTTATCATGTTACATCAATTTAAGTCAAAAGGTCGTGTTCGAGTATCGGATATATTTAGTGCAAATTGGATTGCGTCTAGACTCTCTAAGCTTATCGGTTAACTCCACTTTCAGAGTATTCATTATCTTAACAAGTAATATATTTGTAACGAGATATTTCAAGTTCTATAGACTTAGATATAATACCTTTGAATTAATATTAAATACGCTTCTATTTCTAATTATTTTACTTAGAGAAAGTTTATCAACAAGACTTAAGACTTTGTTAAACACTAGCTATTGCTCGCGACTTCGCCCGCGTGAAATTAAAAAGTTGATAACGTAGCTTTTTAATGGTGATAGAATTGAAATCAGCCCAGCAGTTTTTAGGTTATTTCAATACTTACAAAAATACAAATCTTTTCTCTTTACAACATGGACTTCTACTGTTAGATGTATACTATTATAATAAAGCGTAAACACACACTTCTTTGTTGCCTTTGTTATCCTGTCGAATCGCGCGTTGCGGGCTAGGGCACGCAGTGACCGTCGCGACGCGATAGCGAACAAAGCCGGCATCCACTCACCCTGAAGGACCCCCTGCGGGTTTGAAACTGGTCGGTGCCTACACCGAAAGTTCCCACGTGAGCGAGAGAGAGTCTCACGAAAGTTTTAATAAGTTAGACCATAAGTAGTTGCCAACATCAAGGAAGCAAGATTGTCGAGGTTTGTCATGTTGTCATTTTAACATTTGCTATTGACAATTTGTCAAATGTAATAATTTCATGCGGATGAAGCCGCATGGGAACAGTTAGTTTGTAAATACAAGGAATCGAAAAGCAAGTTACATTCTAGCCTTAAGTACTTACTGTTCTTATCAGCGAGTGGTGAGTTAGCATTCTTGACAATAATAGTCTTGGTGGGTTTCTTAACTTTGCTAAGTACATCACTTAAGCTGATTTTTATCGGCTGAGGTTTCTCTGTGACGTCGATAACAACACTCTCAGCGACAGTAGACCAATCAACGTCTTTCGCGTCTTTACCTCGAGAGATACCACGAAGTTCCTCACTAAATGTAAATTCAGATAAAAGATGTTTAAATAAATAAATAGTAAGAGTAAAGTGTTATCGACCATATTTCCTGTGTTTTAAAATTGGATGCGTATGAAAAACCAATACAGTTGTATTGACGTAAAGTCCACTTATTTGCATATCTGTCAAGTACTTGACAACACTTTCTTGCTGATGGATGTTTTGCATTTTACAATTATTTTCCAGTAAGTGCATGCCAGTAAGAGCATCGCTGGCTCAGAGATTTAAGCACTTGACACAAGTCAACATTGACATAAGTCAAACTACAGGTCTTGGGTTCGAATCTCGCTGTACTGATGTGTTTTTTTTTAGAATTTAAATATATATTTAATCTACCCGATGTTGTTACGGTGAAGGAAAACATCGTGATGTGTACATATCAGCGAAGAAATTCAAAGATATGTGAGAAGTCAATTGAGAGAAAAAGCATTTGGTCAGCGTGGTTGATTATAAAAAAATAGTTTTTTAATTTTCCCATTGGTCAGGGGACTCGTGTCTAAACTAGGGTGGCGCCATTCTGATGGATCACCATACTATGGCCTAGTTACCCCTTATGAGCTCTGAGCCCCTCAGTGAGGACATACAGTGAGCTGGTGATGAGAACACAGTACAATTTCAAGTCAAAGTATTTGCAGTATCAGCGGTAGATTACAAAAGTACAGAGACATTTGATTGGGCAACCCTCAGCAAGTTATTCAGACAGTTTGAAATTAGTAAATAAGACTTAATTCTCACCGCATAGCACCAATAAGTGGATATTTGACGTCATTGCCACAGACATCTCCGCTGAAGTCGTCCATATCCACAGTCCACACCATTGCGCCTCCGAAACCGTTGTCTTTGATCCATCTGATGCAATAAAAGTTAGTTAATCATACTAATATTATTATTGCGAAAGTTTAGATAGATGTTTGTTAGAGTACAAACTCTACAGACTAAAAAGCCTAAACAGCTCAGCGGTTTTCAATGAATTCTGGTACAGACTTAGAAGACAGTCTGGAAGGACTCATAGGCTACATTTTTTTAAATTCCACACGGGATTAGAGTCGCGGGTGAAAGCTAGTTACGAAATAAAATTCAACTGTGTCTAATATATTAGCTTTTAAAGTGAATGTCTCTTAGCAAAAGTAGATACAAGATACAAAAGATAACAAGTAATGTTGAACATATAATAATTTTTTAAATGTTTTTTCCGACTATACGTTTATAATTTATGTGAACTTTAAATAAAAGACTAGAACAGTATTTCTTTTTTGTTGGAAAATGTCAATGTAGTTTTGTTGATTGCGTTTAAATCAACAGAAAGGGGTTGATTCAACAAAGGTTCAAACAAAAATCAATCAAGCGGATTGAACCGCGATCAAAGCTCGTGCGAGACTTAATTTTCCGTCAGTTTGTAAATATTTGCTTTTAGGTGTTTGTGAACGTGATTGCTTGTCACCTGCGAATTGAGCAACGCGATCACTATGACTCGTGTAAAGCACTAAAAAAAGTTTTAAAACCACGTATGCGTTTTTTTTTAAAACAACGAGCAAGCCGCCACCTGAATCCAGCGAAATGGAAAGCGACCGCTTCCCATAAACATCCACAATTGCAGATATGTTGCCTACCCTTAACTGACGGAGTAGAAGGCGCACATAAAGAGGGCATTTCCTCTTCCTATGCGTCTCCTCCACCGTCAAATCCACTTTTCCTTTCCATAGTTTCCTCTGACGAAAAGGGTGAAAAGGGAAAAGACTAATAATAGGCCTCCGGCACCCCACTCATCTGTGTTCCTGTTTTCTGTGTGGTCGTGGTATTACTGGGGGCAAGCCGACCCATTCGTGCGAAGATGTTAAAGCGGGCTCTACCACTGCAATGCGTAGTGTTTTAACATGAACACGAAGTATAGTAGAGGAAGTTTGAGACTAGCCCCCGTAGTAGAGAAGGTAAGGAGTAAAAGGTTAGCATGGTATGAGCATGTTATGAGGAGGGATGAATCGCATGTTACAAAGAGAACGTTAGTTAGTTAGTTATGAGTGTGGAGGTACACCGGTAGAGGTAGACGTAGGAAGAGATGTATGGATTTCGTGAAATGTGACATGATGAAGAAGGGAGTGATGACTGACATGACGTATGATAGAGTTATTTGGAGGTCAAAATCCAGCTGCGCCGAACCTACAGGAGTAGGATAAGGAGAAAATGATAATGATGTATGTATAATGTTTTAACCTTCACAGTTTTAGAATTATGTCCTGAAAAAATGCATTACATTTAAATAATTGTGTTTCGAAACTAAGTATTTACCTCATCTTAATTCTGATTGACTTTTCATCATCGAAGCCGACCCATTGATCACCATGGATAGCATACGGCACCTTCATCTCATCATCCCAGACATACGCGGCACCATTACGTAGCATTTCACAAACCTAAAATTTTACAAAGAATTTAGAAAAATTGCTACATCTAAATAATTTACTTTAAGTTCCCATTATTATCATCATCGACATCATTATCTGCCTTATATCACCCCCCATTCGCCAATTATTTTTTATCCATATCCATATAAAGAGGAAAGATTTACATTTTATGTATCTTTTCAAATAACTTAAAAATTACTGAACCGATTTCAAAAATTCTTGTACCATAAAAAGCTAAGTTATCACTGAGTAACATAGGCTACTATTACTATTTTTTTTAATTGCACGCAGGCAAAGTCGCGAGTAACAGCTAGTTACGTTTATGACGAACACTGTTTTAGATAAAACCCAATTAGCACGCATTAATTACGTTTTGAAATTAACGCCAAACATTTCTATCCATTTACGTGAGACTCGAATACCATTCATAGCGAATTCCCGAAACGCCGGCGATGAATGCAAACTGAAATTCAAAGCTTCTAAATACATTAAAGGCTTGAAAATCATTCCAGAAACAAATTAAATATTCCCACAATGTTTATAAATATTTGATGAAGTGAGTTGATTAAAACACTACATAAGTCATAATTGTGAAAAAATATAGCCTATGTTACTCAGCGATAACGTAGCTTTTTAATGGTGTAAGAATTTTTAAAATCGTCTCAATAGTTTTTGAGTTATTTCAATACATACAAAAATACAAATCTTTCTTATGTATCTATTTAGGTATTGCTTTCCTGGTATTATAATTATTTGTGTCTTTACGACTACCAATTCACGTGGCTCAATGTTGAATACTCTATTATTTTTAATTACTGTGCTGACATAAAATAATATCTTAAATATGCCATTAAAGATATCATTAAGTGCACATGTGCACTAAACAATCGCACGACAGTCGTGTGATTGTCGATTGTTTCTCAGCCAATTCAACTGTTTAGTTGCACTACTAAAAATCGCGCATCGCGATATACGCTCATAAGAAACAAAAGCGCGACTAAACAGTTGTGCGATAGTTTGATCAAAGGTGTGCGCGAGCTTTAACTCTTCAACTTAATTACACAGGGATATTATTTCAGAGAAGAGAAGAGATTTTTTTAATTAAAATGACCTCATAATAAGCGAGGAAGCCGCTCTCCTTTGTGTACTCGCCCGCCTTGCCCCCCCCACTCGCCGGGGAATTCACTTTGAAGTTGTTAGTGTTGGAGAGAGTGAAGGTTCGTCCGTACGTCGGCATACCTGGAATGTGACTGCGTCTTAACCTTTGACTATCTAACGACACTTCAAATAATATAATAAACAAAATAAATAAAATAAAACATCTTTATTATTTTTCCCTTTGGTCAGGGGCCTGGTGTCCTAACTAGGATAGCGCCCTGTGTGATGGATCACCAGGATCACCATATTATAAATGCGAAAGTTTAGATGGATGGATGGATAGATGGATGTTTGTTAGAGTTTGTAGCCTAATCGGCGGAACGGATTTCGATGTAATTTAGCATAGATGTAGAGGATACTCTGGAAGAACACATAGGCTACTCACATTTGTTTTTTTTTTAATTCCGCGCGAACGGAGTCGCGAGCGAAAGCTAGTAATACATATAAAACAAAAAAAAAACAATTATAAATTAACTGAAACAAAACATATCTTTTTAAAAATATTTGATTAAATTAAAATTATATGTTGGGTAATGTGTTAGGTTAGTAGGTAGTCAAATATACTCATAATTCGGAAACTGCGTCAATATTAACTTGGAATTCTGATATGATAACATTCTGAAAATTTTCACTCGAGTCTCACCTGGCGTTGTTTGTCAGTTAAACTCTCGTTAACAAATTCCTTACTGATCTGAACAGCTAAGTTTAACTATTCGATAACTTTATGAGATGAGTTTCCGAACTAAGTTGAGTTTTTACTGCGTGGAAATACATCAACTTAACACTAATGAATTAATTATCTTAGAAAAGTTTAGAAGGGTGAATGTTTGTTAGAGTTTTTAGCCTAAACGGCTAAACGGATTTTAATTGAATTTGGTATAGATGTAGAGAATAGTGCGGAAGAACGTATAGGCTACTTGCTTTTGATTTTTTTTGGGGAAACCTAGTGATAAATAAATGGAAACTTCAGAAACAAAGCATGAATGTTTTTTTGACCATTTAACGTTATTGAAGGTTGCTTTATCTGGTTTTTGAACATTTTCATGTTTTCTTTTTCCATACCTATGATAAGCTTCTCTTTAGGAGCTCCCAGTTTCACCCAGAGATGTGCTGCGTGGTCCACTGAGAGCTGTTTGCGCCACTCAGAGTCTGAGGAGGGTGCGTAGAGCGGCGCGTTGTGTCCGGTCTCCCGCTCCCACTTGCCGTGGAAATCGTACGCCATCACGTTGATAAAGTCCAGGTAGCTAAGTGGAAGGATTAGGTATTTAGTGCTCAAGGTAAAGCACTGATTGTAGGTAATTTTATACACTTTTTGTTAACTATACTAATATTATAAATGCAAAAGTTTAGATGGATGGATTTTTGTTAGAGTTTGTAGCCTAAACGGCTAAACGGATTTCGATTATATAGATGTAGAGGATAGTCTGTAAGAACACATAGCCTACTCACTTTTGTTTTTTTTAATCAACGCGGACGGAGTTGGGGGCGAAAGCTAGTCATCAATATTTTGATATGTCTTTGATAAATTATTTCATACAGAGCAACTTCTTTGGAATCCTAATTTTGCAATAATTGTTTTAAAATTAGATCGTTACCCAGCGTCAAGTACTTTTAATCATACGAAACCTCATGTAGATTTTATTGGGTTAATATTTTAACTTACCAGACTTTTGATAATTCTATTCTATCTGCAATCGTCTTGGAATATCCCTCACTTATTTATATTGATTTTTTTTAGAATGAGAGTAATTTAATTTGTATACCTAGCAACAGCAGGCACATCATAACCACTCTTGATGTTGTCAGGACCAACAGGTACAGCTGCGGTGAGCAGGAGACGCGGCTTCTTTACTTCTTGAGCTTCTGCTTCGAATGCTTCTCTCAGTTCTGCAAAGATACAAAAGAGTAAGTCGTATCTCCATTAGTTTGTTACTTTTTTATTCGGTTTATTGAAAACATTATATTAATACCGATTCTTAATTGATTTTGAGTAATATCGCTTCTTTAATTGACATTTCCTTCAAAATTCATCAACATATCGGGCATACTTTCAGTGCCAAAATTGCTTTTGATGAATTGATCTATCTGTCGAGTTCAAGAGGTTATATCGACCTCTACAGCTGGACTTTGGCCAAATTAATATTTTCTCGATATTGTACTTGATTCATAAAATATATAACTGCAACTAACTTTGTATTGATCAAAAATTGAACTTTTCATACGCAAGAAGGAGTTTCAGAGAAACATGATGTAAACATATTTTAGTGATAGAAAAATTACTCTTACAAAAAGAGTTTTGTATTTGACGGAATCTTTATTTATTTTAACATATTCTGTATATATTGCTCTTCATAATGCAATACTCAGTTAATGTATAATTGTAAGGAACAAAACTTAGCAAGTTTTGTAGGTCAAAGCGCTTATAGAGCGGTATTTTAGAAAGGATTAATCGACTCTATATGTAGCAAGGACAATGAAATCGCAGTATCTAGAATATCAGAGCTTAACATTTTAAGAATATTCTAAAGAACATTTTGAACTTTGATTTTTTGTAAAAAAAATTATATGCTGAGATTTAATTTGGCATGAAAATAAAGGTATATTTCTAAATGGGAGTTGTCAATTGTACAAGAATGTCGAATTGTCTCGACAAGTCGAGAGTAAATACCCCGTTCTAATGAATGCAGTTCCCACAATTTAGATAAAGCACGCGAGACTCGAATTCGCTAAAAAGTGAACGGGAACCTAGTTGTTAAAGCCCGATTTGTTCCTTACGAAACACAGCTTCACCAATTATTTATAGTTTATAATCTATCCCACGTTATTAACTCAAAGGTCTCTTCTTCAATAATTCGTTCAAATTGTTAGGTGTTTGGTTTAAATCTTATGATTCAGAAATACACACATTTAAATGATTATGGATTGAGTATTCAATATCCGTTGAGCTATGAATCTTTTTATTTGAACATGTAAATCGGAAAACATTGGAATAAAGTTTTAGTCGTCAATCTCGACACAGACCTTTTAAGTAGGTGTGCAAATTACTTAAATGAGTGAAAAATAAAAATTTAATGTAGGATTTAAAGACTCATCAATTATTTAGAGAAATTCTTCAAATCTCATTAACCTCTCATTGTCCATCTCTATCAGCCGTTACATCTGAATTCACTTCCTTCTTAAGCTTATCCTTTCATACAGTTCATCCATTTTTTTCTATGTTCTTTTGCCTTTGTAGCCATCTACATTTCAATCTTAGTCAAATCGTACAAATATATTTAAACAAAAAAATATATAAATTTAAAGTTTACATAACACGAACTTGGTATTATGAGATCACGATTAAAGTATTACAATACAAAAAACAATGTACTCAAGTCATTATCTTCACCTTGTTAAAATGTCAAGGACGTGCATCGGAATGAGTCAGAATTTCCTAAAATATCTAATAGTTTTTATGCCATTTATACCGTAAAAAGACTAATGCTGGAAAACTTTATTGAACTTTCTTTAAGTATTCCACATTATTAGGGATTTCATCATTTTTCAACAACAATTTAATGAACAGAATTTTTTTTAACCAATTTAATGAATAATTTTGAAGACCGTAAAAAAATCACAACACACCTAAATAAAGGTCTGACAGGAGTACGTCCGTTTTAAATAAAGGACGCATCAAGACAGGTCGTTATTTATGAACGTATAAATTGATCCCGTATCAAAAGTGGGACTTAATTTACGAGTGAGGCGGCCGCGGCATTCTGACAGTCACTGCGGTTGATAGCTGATGAAATTTAAACCAGATAATGTTTAAAACCCGTAGTATTTCAGCAGCAGCATAAATTCTTAATTTGTTTTCGTATTTTGGCTACTTGTTAACGTCAGTGTAACAGTTGTAACCTTAAAAGTCATGGAATGGCACAAGGAATAATATTAGGACCAACATTACCTTCAAACAAAATTTTAAATGGTTAGATTTTTATTGTAAAAAATCAACAGAAATA